GAGACCGCATGATTTCATCAGTTGATGAACTTTAAGTTGGGCACAGGCTGCGATAGCGTGGGTAGTTAGGAGCAGTTGAATTGATTGACGCTTGGCGGAGTCTGTTTCGGGCGTGAGCGAGTAGTCTCGGAGGAGGGAAATGTGCGAGGGGAGGGAGAGTTGAAAATTTGAGACCATTTCGTTCAGGGCTAGGCAGCCTTGATAGGTCGTCTCGTAGTCTGATTGGGGTGCTAAGTAGACAGAAGGGAAACGTTCGTGAGTTTCATTGGCGGAAGACAGGGAGATGGAACTTACTGTCTTCCGCTTTGGAGAGATAACATACGGCCTTCTGGAGCATGATAATCGCTTTGACGTACATCTCGCGCTCTGAGCCACCGGAATTGGAAGGTGACATTCCGTTATCGTTCGTCCAGAAATCCTTCAGCGTCCCGAGCGAAGCAGATTCACTCTGAAGTATGTACATGAAGATCAGAAAAATCAAGCGTCAGATTTCGGAGGATCCAACTCACCAGTTTCCATTTTTCCTTCTTTGATGGCCAAGGAGTTGCTATATCTCGGCAACTGTCCAAATTGCCGAAAGCACACGAGGTTGGGTGGCGAACAATCAAGAGATGCCGTTGTAATGAAAAAACTGTCCAGAAAGCATTTATCCGTTCCTCGGAATCGGCGGCATCGTTGATAGGGGGCACAGGTATACTCTCTTGTGATGATTGCGGACCGCAGTTGGGTGATAGGGGACTCAGTTTGTGGAATCCTGACGACAGGCAGAGCGACACGGCCCCGTCGACGTGATAGTCCGAGTCTGTGAAGCGGTTCTTCCGCAGGAAGTACGTTGCTAGCAGAACCTTTGCTTGCAGTAGCTCGAGGACCTGTGTCGACGTGAGGTCTGTAGTGATCTGCATCCCGATGTATGCCAGCGCGCGGCGAAGAAGTTCCGTCTCTCGAACGGATGTGGACGAATGCGTCCCGGATAAATGAGCTCCCCAAAGGACTACCACAGCTATGAGAGCAGTTGTCGTTGTGGGAGACTCTTTACACGAGTCTCGCTGGGCTACGGACGCTCTAAAACGATCGACGTCCCGGAAGAATCCGAATTGAGGCGCATGAGGGAGGAATATCTCAGTGCTGCTCGAGGGAGTCAGCCTTCAACATGAGTCAGATGAGAAGGACGACATTCGGCTTACAGCATAAATTCATCCTCGGCATTAGGCCTTCCAAGATCCTGATTGATGAAACATGTCAGAGTCGTGTAGCAAAATACACCCGACTCGGCTTACCGATGTCACACAGAAAGAGGGTTCGCCAGGGTCTAGCGAACAAGTCAGCCGGCGGTGGTCCGTGGATTATTCAACTCGATTACGCACCCAACGATGGCGAATAGTATGGCGGCGGTGGAATTGGTGAGTTCCCACTACTACTGGAAGTCTCCCATAGAGTAGAGTTCGAAGGGGTCGTTGCGGCGGAAACAGAAAGACTGGAACTCTCGCTTGTAGGAGCCTGAATAAGTTTGATATTGCAGTCCTCTAGCTCGCGAATTCGAGCCTGAAGTTCGGCGACGTTTTGTTGAAGCAACAACGTTCTTGAGGGACCGTCGGTGTATTCGCATGGGTCGTCTTTCGGTACTCGGATACATTGCCCGCAAGTAGGCTTGATCCCGTCGCATTTCTGTGGGAGTAAGTGGAGGTTGAGCGTAGGTAGCCTTTTAGTCGATGATAGCGCCTTACGATCTTCAAGAACCTTATGAAATTCGGGAGTCAATGACGATACTTGGGTAGTGCCTTGGACACTCACCGACAGTTCAAGCAAGCTTTTCCCCGTCTCAAATGCTTCGTGGGTTGTCTAAAAACATCTCTTCCTCGCCTCGATCGCTTGGTGTCACAGTCGCTGGAAGTCATTTGAGGTTGGGTCCGGTTCGGAAGGCAAACAGCCTCTTCTTATATCGAGCGGCCCTCTGTAAACATAAAGGGAAAGTCTGTACGATGTGGTCGGTGAGCGTCGGCTATCCAATGATGTATTAGTGCTGGGAACTTGTGAACGTGCCATCTTGGTGCCATCAAGAGATCTTGGGCGCCCCTTGAATTCAATTTACGATCATCAATTTGTCGGGATCTCCGTCCCTTTCCTGAAAATAATATTAATATACTATTCTTAGATACGCTGAGGAGGTCATTCTTCGTGAACCAAAACCATACATGTACATACCTGCTCTGTCTTGGATGATTTCGACAGTAAATCCGCACATTCGGACTCAAGAGGGGTACTACAAGGGCTGAATCTCCTTGGAGAGATGAAGTTTCCGTCGCACGGGCTCGCTCGGTTATAGACTGAAAAACACCTTTTTTGGAGTCCAGGGTGCCGATTCAAAAGGCTTGGGGGGGCGTCCGGGCAAACAAACCCCAATGACGCACAGGATTGACCCCCTTACTAGTCAGCGAACACTATGCGAAGGTAAAAACTTGAGGTATATGCGTTTATGCGTCCTTCCGCCGGATGCTACCGAGTTATCGAGGACTTGGCACAGGTTTCTCGAGAGCTGTTAAATACTTTCACGAAGAGACTCACGGAAGCGTAGCGGCGCAGTATCCACATAACAGTGTCCTCCTATTCACCAAAACCCAGAGGCTCAGCATATACACGCGATAGTCCAAATTGCGATGCCGAGGTGGAGACCGTCGGCGTGACCCTGAGCGCTGTACCAGGGTTCACGAGGTGACGGTCTTTTCTTTTCTGCATCGATCTTTATGAACTCTCCATATCCACAGCGCCCGTGGAGAGTAAACTAGCGGAACGAAGAGGTCGGAAGTCAGTATGGTAAGTATCGAGCGACGGATCATGAAGATTCTTACGACCACTGTGGGGTGTCGGATGCAAACACCTGACCCCCGCTCAGAATTCCCCGACGGACCGGCGGCCCTCTGAACGCACAGAGGATAGGGGGGCAGTATGTGGCAAACTCCAACTGCGGAGCACCATACCATACCTAGGTGTTGATGATTGAGGAAGCAATGTTCAAACACAGCGTAAATAGAACTTCGACATCGCCACTGGATTATTCTCAACAGCTTCGAAGTCGCAGTTCCCGCGTCGTTGAGCGATCTCGTGTGCCAAGTAACTGTCCGGCGAGCTGCGGACGACGCAGTCAGCAACCTTTGAGGCTCGGACAGCCCAGCCACTGAGATAAAGCCTCAAATTTCTTTGAACTATGTTGATTTGGTGCCACGAGTCCAATGCGGCGAAGTCCGGACCCCCCTCCTTATCTTTACTGATTCAAACTGCTTAGGGCCAGCTTGAAACCCATTCATTGTTAAGTCTCCGCCGGGATAGAATCTGTCAAACGTCTGAACTACTTGAAGGACACGAGTAATATTCGCCTCACCTTTGCGCAATGCGAACCAAAAGGCCGGTCATTCTGTAAATCCTTCGTCATACACGGTCTGGGTTGACCTTGACACGGGAACGAGTTGTATACATGTGTATTCTCTTCTCATCAGCAGGGAAAGTGTCTGGCCCCATTCCCAAATTTCCCATATCTTGAAACAAAACGGTATGTTTGTGCCTAGGGGTGAATAGATTTGAGTAGCAGGAGGCTCGGGATTTATCGTCATACCTTAGCCTACGTGCCCTAGAACGTACTAACGAGAAGGGGAACCGAAATATGCAGGACATTTCTTGGATTGCTGACGTCGCTGTCGACGTCTACTCATTAATGCTCGCTGCTGTGTGGAGAATACTGCGTGCAATGACATCCAGTCGCCATAATCTCGCCGTAGGGCAAATGAAAAGAGGAAAACTCTCCAAAGTTATCGTGCGGTTACCGAACGAATTTTAGAGGAAATGATGAAGCGAAGTGCTCGCATGGTGCACGTTGGGGTCCTTGAAACACAAAGAGGCTGTGAAGGAGTCACGCGAATACCCACTTGTGGACATACTGCCACATACTTACGTCGGAGAGGACCTGCCAACTCCTGCATGAGCTCATACGAAATGCCACTTGAAGGGAGAAACGAGTAACTCCTCATCTTTGAGAACGAGGACCTGTAGAACACAATGAACCATCAAAGGATTTGTGATGAGTGTGGACGCGGCACAACAGCCTATTCTTTCGGCCCTTCGAACGAGGAGGGAATATTCATACAGCCAATACATGAGCGCTCATGAGATCCCCCTCGAAGTTGTCAGGACCCGAGTATAGCTCCAGATCATCATATCGTCTCGAAACAAAGCAATCAGTTAGTGCCTGATTTCATTTGAAGAGAAGGGAAAGCACCATCACGCCTGAGCCCACATGCCCTGGGACGTAAGTAGGAAGAGACCATACGAAAGAATCGCGAGTCCGAGGAGCCCTACAGGTGTTTGTGTTCCAAGGTCCCCGTTTAATATTAAGGTAACTCGTGCACAACCTTGTCATTACCGAGGGTGGAAGCCCTCGCAGCGTTTCATCTGGTGAGCAGCTTGATCGACGGGCTTCCAAATTAGTCATTGAGAAAATGGAGGGAGTTGTTCACTTGAGGGAAATTATCGGTTGAGTGTTGATGCTGGTGGCAGTGATATGGCGGGGCCCTGGACCCTGAATCCTGGAGACCCGCTTTCACTTGCGGAGCTTGAGACAATACATGATCCCTTGGCCTGCATGCCTTTGGACGTATATAGATGAAGGATAAGATTCGCGAATTTGAAGGCAGTGACGAAAGATGTTCCTTAGTTTTCGAAATTTTGACATCTCAATTATGGAGATCACTGCGGAGTAGGTGACTTCGGTAGTAGTTCTGTGAAAGGAGCCGGGGAAATCATCGAGTAATCGAGAAAGCTGTTTACTTGGAGTTGGGCTTGAATGATATCGGTGTTGGTGGCAGTGGAAGTTGAAGCCAAGTGAAAGGTGTAGAGCGGTGGGGCCAGACTGGTCCCTGGACCGACTCTGGAGCGTCCGCCACGTGAAGCGTATAGGTTATCACGGGACCTCCCCATTGCTCTATGGACGCTTCGTTATGCCCATCAAACGCGGTCTAATAGTGTAGTGGTTATCACAATGGATTCTGAAAAATTACTATTCTGAAATTCCATTAACCCAGGTTCGAGTCCTGGTTAGACCTTTTGCTTTTTTACTTACGCATCCATGGACAGGTCACTCTTCCCTTGCTAGGGTGTTTTGGCTTAGTGAATGGTGACGTTCCAGATCGCTGAGCATGTAGCTAATACTGCATGAGTGGTATGTACTTGCTCTCCAGAGTCCAGGCTAGATTCGTCGCGCAGGTATTGATAATTATTCCTAAATGGCCGCTAACAAGGACTTGGCGCTTAGCTGCCATAGAGACAAATTCGATCGCGCGGGATGGTGACCAAAAAAATATGCGCGCTTGCAAAGACTCCGACAAGTACTTACACCCGGAGCAGCTAACCTTGTTGTAACTTGAATGGGATAGGCTGGGTTTCAAAAACTGGCGGAATTCTAGGGCTGGTGCTTGCCGCGAAGCTCAAAACTTCCGCACCATGACTAGTTTCACGCTTCGTACATAGGCGACGTCGAATGTTTAGTTGAGCTCGACTGAATAGGCAGTTAGACGTTTAAACGCCTTCCGAGGAGGACTCTAAGCACACTACCAGTCTACATAACGACGCGTTCCGCTGCGTTCGCAACCGTATACGACGGCCAAAGCAACGGCTCGGGATACGAGCTCCCTTGGTAACAAGGTCCCTAGAGGCTTGGTATCGGTTAGCGTGGAAAGCAGGTCCCGGATTCCGACATACTTAATCCATTGGGTTTGCCGAGCGGGAAATGCCGAGCGAACCAAGCCTTCCCCTCAACTGACTATTGAATATCCTGAAGGTAGAAATTTAAACATACACCTCAAGGCGTCGTCATTGCCTGTTCTTTTTCAAGGGTACCACCGACAGCCACACTCGAAAAACAGAAAGCTGCATGCGTATACAGTACGCATACCGCGCCCACTGACAGGAACGGATCAACTATCCCGGATATATAGACTGAACCTGACTTTCGGGAGGTGATCTATGATTTGGGCGCCGATCGCAGGCCACGAGAGGCCACGCCATTTCGTGCCCCGTGATTCCTCCACTGACCTAGCCTCGTCCGGAGCTGATTGTGAAAATCGTGAAGTTACTCCCTGTTACTCCCTGTCAGAGTTTTTGTTAGATCCAGCGATTAGCGAATATGACTCCATTCAGCGTGGCTCGGGCATGGCAGGTGGATGGCATTTCTGCATACTCATCAAGCCGGTGCCTTTAATTTCTGACGAGCTATTCTAGTCTGATTTCTTTGCTTCCATTCCCTGTTTCAGGAATAGTGTGAATGCGTCTACAGCACGAAGACGCACCCTCACGGTCCCGGCAGTGAACGGCCTGTATAAAAAAAAGCTCATCGATACGTGAAGGTGCTGTATCTATGATTGAATGCCCAAATGATTGGCGGCTACCATGACAGATTAACCCCAGAAAGGATTAGTCTGGATTTATCCGCGACGCCAGTATGCCCTGCTGTATTCACCTTCGGCTAAGTGACGATGCTATGCTAGCATGAGGAGGCATTGAAATTTCCTTTACATTTCCCCCGTACGACCGTAGAGTATATGTACCTCATGGATCGCGTGTTTTCCTCTGAGTCCCTCCCACTTTTCTCTTCCCCGCTTTGGTCGAAAGCCAGCTCCTTGGCCTGTCCTCTCCACGACTACTACTTCCGCTGGCGGCTGCGAGTCTTTAGCTCACCCAAATACTAACGAACCGCTCCCATATCCTACATCTCATCGACCTCGCCATACCTTATCACCATGACCAGCTACGGAATGCCCTACTTTCTCGAAGACAAAACCGGCCGACTCTCGGGCACCGAATACGTCGACATACATGACAGGCTTCACTATGTGTACCGATGTACCGCCCGCTCGACGTCCCACTCAACATACATGATTTTCAGCGCCAGCTCACCATCGGAACCTTTGATGGCGTTGAACTTTGGTCCGAAGAACGCGTTGGGAAGCGTGTCTTTCTCCTCTCAGGCTTGCTACCCCATGAACCAATATCTTGCCAAGGTGTCGACGCCGTCAGGGAGGTATGGTGTACCTTTATATTGTCATAGACGTGTGGCGTACTGACCAGGTCCCTTGCAGAGCGTGGAAGTTCGTCGCTAGGGATGGCCAGGAGTATCTTTGGAGGTGGAGGTCGCAGGCGAATCAAGAGTGGACGGTAAGTATTTAGACGTTCTCGTTCTGCGACGGAGGAAATTAATTCCCTCGATCTTTAGTGCACAAATCCTCAAGGCTATTTGATAGCTTACTACAGCTTGCACACTCCCGGAGAGTCGTCGGGATGCTCTTTGACTATCGAAGAACCATATCCTCATCTCGCTACAGGTGAGTTTAGGAATACCCTCGACGTCTTGCACGGTTTCTGAATCTCGATCACAGAAATGCTGGGCACCCTGATGGTGCTGCGACACATGGTCGAGTACAAAATTTGACCGGACTCAAAGGCCCAGACCTACATTCTCCTCCATCGATTGTGCGACATCTTTCTTGAAATTATGGCACTTGGCCGTCCTTCAGGGCGTGGTTGCCTCACGCTCGTGTAAATATCACATTCTGTACATATAGTCATTATGCATAAGTATCGTATTGTAGGTAGGGTAATCACTATTCCTGTATGATAGAATCATATCGTAGGGTTCTGGATATTCCAATATAGTACCTCTCTTAATAATTTTCTTTCAAGTTTCCGAGCTCCCGCAGTCAGCAGTCCCCAAGTAGTCCCAGCCGGTGGCAATTGCGGTAAATGGCCCCGCGTCGGCCAGTCAAAATTCGCACGGACCGGAGTTCCCGCCGGCAAATCATGTTCAACCTCTACGATGACGAGTCCCAACGCAATCTCGCTCTATCCGCTTCTGTGATAGCAGTTCTCCCAGTCGTCTACTATCTCTATCGCAAAGTCACCAATAACACCACAGTCACTTCTTCAACGAGTAGCACCTCTACAGCAGCATCCCTAGCTGCCCAAGGACAGACCTCAAGCGACCAGAAAAAAGAGACGAAATCTATAATGCAGGCAGCAAGGACGGATTTGACACCGCCAAGGGACGATCCTTTCACGCAGGAACAGCTGAAGGCATTTGACGGAAGTGATCCCTCTAAACCCATCTATGTTTCAATCAAGGGTGAGTTGTGCACGTTTTTGTAATAATTAACAGCTTCCTTACGGTTTTGCTGCGATCTTAGGGACTGTATTTGACGTGACTCATAAGAAGGATGTATATGGTCCAGGGAAGTCATACAACGTCTTCGCAGGAAAGGATGGTTCGAGAGGATTGGGCATGTCCAGTTTGAAGACAGCAGACGCAGTACCAGATTACAGCGTTCTCGATGAGAAGGATATGAAGACCTTGAATGATTGGCACGACTTCTTCAAGTGAGTCTTCATTTCGTTTTGGCACTTCATACTCGAAAATAAACGTCTCTTTTGCCATTTCTGTCCCGTTCATAACGTTGTTACTCATACGACACGCTGTTTTCTTCATCCAGGAAGCGCTACAACATTGTCGGGCGTGTCACCGATCTCCCTACTGCGGTCGCTGACAGAATACCGCCAAACTTGTAAATTATCTCGCCTTCACCTTGCCTCGCCCTCCGACAAGCCCTTGTGTTTGGTTATCGTCTGTAATCTATTGGTTTTCCTAACTATATCTCGAATTTATGCGAAGATGCGACTATCACCCTCGATTCTCTGATATCTGCTATCACAGCGCCCACGAAGCAGCCTCGTTTCCTCACCTTGTTCGACGTGACCATTCCTCATGGCCACCACCTTCCTCATTTCAGATCGCTCCTGTTCCGCACCTCGTTGTTGCAGTGATAGACGCGAAATTAGCTGTGAACCGGAAGAAGGTACTTCCTTTGAAGGGTCGATGCTCTTGGAGCTTGTTTCTCGTCAACGGCTAGCCTGGGAAGTATCTCGCTTGTGTGGAAGAAGGTGGCCTTGATCATGACGTTCCCCGTGGGGCTTGCGAATGCCACAACCGATAGGGATGCTACCATGCTCCTGCAATGCCACAGCGATGACCGCACGGTATGTCGAGTTGTCACTCGATCCCTTGCTTTCCCTCACCCTGATTGACCTAGTCCGAGGTTGATTTACCCCATCGCGGCGAGTGACATGGGAAAGGCTTCACAATGTATTTGGCTCGGAGTATCGGCCGCACGGACGCCCATGGACTTCTTAATTCAGTCTTCCTAATCCTTTGCCACAAGTATAGGGTATTTTGGGAAGGTATACATTATCGGATGTGACAGAGAATGACCACATACGTGTATTATCTGAGTGACGGCGCTTTGGCTTCAGCTTGGGATCCTCTATGCCACAGGCTCCTATCGGTTTTGCTTTGGCCTTCCAGCCGACTATTAAAGCCAGCTGCGGAAGAGAAGGCTTCGTACCGGCAGCACCAGAAAAGAACCCCCACCTTAGTCCACATGGTAAGCCCTCAGCTCTCCTGGCACTCAATACCAGTACTGAATTCACCCCTCTAGATCCCAACCGCCGACTTCCGCCCCGCCTGTTTTGCCGATGAGTTGGAGGAGATGACCACTCGTCTCCATGAAACGAGAGCACAGTGGACCAAGAAGATGGATCTCCTTTTCTCCGCGGTATGTTTGAATTCCCCCCTTCCGACTTCGGACTCTCACAATATAAACTCAACTTCTCCTTCAATTCCCTCCAGTGTGGAATGTGTGTTGTGATCCTGACCTGGACGGCTGTCTCGATCATGGACCCTAGAACGTAAGCCCCCATTCATCGGTTTGAATGGAAGGTACTGTAAAGTTCTGATCACCCTCTCCGTTCGCATGATAGGACCCTACTCGCTACGACCTCGATACCTCCTTCCCCTCGAGTCATTTTTGTCCCGACGACCCTTCTCGGCCTTGGCATACTCTATCTCCTCCGGAAGGTGGCTCTGGACCGAATCGACGAATGTCTACTCATCGGTTTCTCCGTCGTCGAGAGAGACGATGCCGCTATTCTCTACTATCGCGACGCAACGGTCCCAATCGTAGTAGCGCCAGTTTCCTGGCCTTTCGACGCGAAGCGGATA